GGAGTTCCCGACAANTTAGTAAACCATCTACTGCATGGTCGTAGTGTGAAGTGAGAGACGACCGTTAACGAGGTTAAGCACCGAGGACCCGCTGTTAAAGTGTAGATAGTTAGCCATGCTGTGATTATAAGTAAATCCATTACATTGTCGTCCTTCCTAGCGCAATTATCCCAACAACTTTTAAGTGTTACGATCGATTAATCGAGAAGAGTTCGCTTGCGGCTTAAGAGACAAAAACAGTCTTTGTAATTTTCTAGATTAACCGTCTTCGTAATTGATCAGAAATGTTTCATAATCATTTGCTGTTGACACCAATTGGTTTTTCGTTCGCTGAACTTATGCAACAAGCGCTAGCAAACAACCAAGGGACGGACCATTATGTTTTGGAGGGGAGGGGGGTTGGGCAATTACCCCCAAAAAATCCTGCACAGCAAAATCAGCCAAAAAAAATTGTGCAAGGGCAGCCATGGGACAAAAAATCGAGCAAAGTGCTCTTTTAATTTGCTGTTAGAAAAAAATCCGGCACAAACTTTTGTCCACCAAAAATAAATCATGCACAATCTGAAGGTAGGAAAAAAAATCATCACCCAGAAAATTGCCCTCAAAACCAGTTTTGGCCTTGCGTGTGATCATAACCTCCCCTTGCGTGTGTTTTCTCGCGCTCTTCACCGCAGATTTCTTGTTTCTGCTTCGATCGTGTTCTGATTGCTACATTTTGTTGTTTGTCTCTTCTGTGGTTAAATAAGAATTTAGTTAAACGAGATGGATTATAAAACCTTTTTGCATATTAATATGTATCTCCTGTAAGATAGGTCAGCGGTGCATGAACAGGAANTTTTTTTTTTTTTTTTTTTTTTGAGATTAATCTTAAATTCATCTTAAATTTATTCTTAATTCTATTCTCGCCGGTGTGAAAAGTTTCAAACCAGTGAGAAACTAACACCTGCATCCCTATCATGTTTCTCGTTCAGTTGTGCCAGGTACTAAAAGAAACAACGTAGATTTCCACACAGTAGAACAGGAGGCAGGGAGAGCTGTCCTTAAGTTGTTAGATGCGAAAATAGGTAAGTATGTTACTTGTACATTCTTCATGGAAAAAGTAAAACTAAACCATTTCGGAATACCCGAGACCCTGGCACGTTTAGTTAAAGGCGTTGCACAGTGTGGTATTTCAAAACCGCTTTGCATTTATCCAGGATTGAAAGACTCTCCATGCCACCTTTGCAACCGCAGCAACTTTAATGTTCCAGTATGACTTCAAGAACACATATAAATAAAATAATTATAATTCATATTCATTGAACTACATATTAACTCTAGCACTGTACCAGTTTAATCCTCATTCGGACAACCGCAGCCAGATTTATAGCGGCCATGCAACCCTCTTCTATGTGGGATCATTTATCCAGTTAAATATAACTGATAGGCAAGGACAATTATATTATGTCTGTCCTTTCTCCCTTTCTGTAGGCAAAAAGGTTAATGACGCTGCGAAGGAAGTTACAGATTTTCTAAACGACGCAGTTGGTAAGACTCAAGACTCTGCACAGTTTTACTTCTGGATGCACGAAAATAAATGACAATTCCTAGATTAATATTATTTCACTTCTTAAAAAATTAAGAATGAACGTTTCTTGGCTGTACACAAATATAGAGGTGCGGGCATTGTGCTGCCAGGGTAAAGCCGGCAGTGGATTAAAGAGTGAAATGGCTACAGAAATAGATTACATCATAAAACGAAAAAGAGCAATGTTATTAACTGAAATAAAAATGCATTAATCATAATCTAACCATTTTTGATAGTGCATTGATCAGGTAGTAACCTTGAATTGCTGTAGCATCATCCGTTTCACGTAGTGTGTCATGCTTTTAAGGTCATTCCCCATTCCCCTATTACATTGCGCATCCCTACTGCGCATAATTTCACGCGCGATTAGCGCGCGCGCATTAAAAAATGGCGGATTTTTCTTTGCCGCTGGACCTCGCCATGGAGGTGAATCGTCATTTTCTCGAAAATGAGTACGGTGACCTATCATTTTTTTTTCTGTTGTGTTGAATTGAGTAATAAATTTCTCTATGTAAAATAAATATGGGCCAATTCTCAGTGTTGAGCAAGAAACAATCGTCGGAAACGTTAATTTACCAAGCAATCGTGACAATAATCATGGTGCTATTGTAAGGATTTATATGGTATAGACAAGATGCTGTTGCTCCTAGACGAACATGGCGACCCCTCATTTTTATCTCCAAATTTAAGTTCCTACAATATAAACAGTCAATAGGCAAAGTTTGACAAAAATCTCAGTGCAGGCTCTATTTCAGTGGAATGATCTTTAGGTCTTGAGGACAGAGAAGGAGCCTTTTATAATCGCCTGGGGGTATTGCAAAGCCAGTGAAACGATCCAAGGTCTATGCATGCTTGTGAAGATGGAACTTCTTTCATTCAGTTTGCGTTACCTTTAACAGGTCATCATGCAGATCAAAGAGCAGCAAATATCCAGTCGGACAAACAAAAAGGTAACTCAGGAAATATGTATAGGAGGCGAACTCTTCAGTTTCGTATCATTATCAAACCGTATACTATCACCGTATAACACCTAAACTGCTCTTATTTTTATTCAAGAAACATTTCGTAGTTTCCCCCACAAGCTTCCCTTTCAAAGTCAATTCAAACCTGTAAATTTTTTCAGTAATGATGCCCCCTAAAGAAGCAAGTATCAAGTGAATACCGGGTGAGAGGATTGCATCTAATCCATTCAAGATTTTGACCTGCTTAAGTAATATTCACAAGTGCAGCTTCCAAAAGATAAATTTAGCAAATTTTATAGATTACTCAGTATTTGTGGACCAGATGCCCCAGTCTGAATCCTAACCTAGTGTCCGCAGCAATACCTGGCAAAGCACATCGTTATTCCCCCTGGATTAGTACCAGTCCATTACAGGTTAATTCCGTTTATATAATAATTAAATGAATGCGCCCGCTCTGATTGGTCAATCAGCTATGGTTTATTTTGCCAGTAAACTCGGAAATTTCGCGTGTCTTCTGAATTATTATATAAAAGCAATAGGCCACAAGTTTTTATGGTTTATAGGCTGATAAGGGGGATGTTGGAAGAACACTCAAAGAATTCGTAAATCACGAGCCGCAGGCGAGTGATTTACAAATTCTTTGAGTGTTCTTCCAACATCCCGCGGGGTCTATCAGCCTATAAACCATAAAAACTTCTGGTCTATTGCTTAAATATTGCAAACTTATCCCTACAATCTGCCAGAAAAATTCACACAGTTGCGTGCATGTGGAGGGAGGCACTGTGAGAGTAAAGTGTCTTGCCTAAGAACCCCACAAGCCAGCCAGACACGCGATTGAATCTTGATTCAGAGAACAATGCGCAAACAATATCAATTTTCTTGTACTTTTTCCTCAATACAGAAATGTCACTTCTCCACCTCGGTGCCAAAAAAGTGTTAACGAATCAGGATGAAGAGAACAAACCTAAAAAGAACAAGGATGGCTCTTTTCTTGTGAACTTTAAAATCCCTTACATTGTAACACCAGTTGATGCAAAAAAGAAGCCGAAAGCAAAAAAATTCCATCACAAACACGCCAAGAAGCCACACTGGAAGAAATATCACCACCGTGTTCTGCATCACAAGCATCATCATCATCATCATCACCATCATCCGCATGTGTCAGACGCCAGCAAGCATCCAGCGAGTTCACCGCCAGCCCCCTACAACACACAGGCACAAGGTGAGTCAATGTAGTCTTGACTATTTTTGTGATTGCCAACGAGATACATCATGACTAGGTTTTATATTTTTCTTATGACGTCAATGTTGTACAACGGTGTCGTCATCATCCAATCCAGTCATTATCTTGATCATCGTCGTCGTCGTCATCAATCACACATGTTTGATTTTTGGAGATCAAAGAAAAATTAAAACAAGTGCCAAAACATTATTTAAAAATGTATTCATTTTCTCATTCACGACGATCGAAGATGTTGTATCCTTTGTCGTCTGTCACCAATGCGACCCCATGAAAATAATCGCTTCCTGTACCTTGCAGCACCGCAAGCCCAGAGTCCACCACCAAGCTATAACGCAATTGATTTGTCCTTTAATGGCTACAACTGGACTTATAACTATAGCAATGACACCAGCCAAGATATGACCCCTTGTCAGGGCAACTGCATGGACCCTTGTACGCAGCAGTGCTCAATGAGTCAGGACTGCTGCTGCTGTGACCCCAACTTGATGGCCCAGACCCAAATGGCTGCCGCCCCAGCCGCCCCAGCGGCTCCAGTGGCCCCAGCGGCCCCAGCATACCAACAGGTAAGTCAAGTAACTTTGACTTTTCAGGCAAGCTCCTACTGAAATACATGTGGTAGACGTTCTGGAAATGAAACTGACCTAGACATAATTCATGTTGACAAAAAAATCTTCGAAGCTGTTGAACTGAAAATATGTTTTGTAAACGAACTTTTCGCATTGAAAACTTGTGTCTATTAAAACAAAAATACTTAGCCTTTCCTTCCAACCTTGAGGTTTCTTTCGTAAGGTTTTAGTCATAAGTTAAGGTGGCTCACAACAGTCTCCAGTTCTTTCCGTCACTTTTACTTTGATGGATCAATACTACTGCTCTATTAAAATGATGTGATAGCAATGCCCAATTATTGGTGAACAGGTTTTGACCATTCTCATGGCAAAAAAGGGTTACCATAGCAACAGAACGATCTGTTAAAAACACCCTTAACACCCATGTTTTGTTGTGGAATTGTAATAAGCACTATAATATTCAACTTCTTATAAAGTTTTAACAAATGTCCTGGAAAAGTTTTCGAAAATTTAAGGTTGCTTCAAGCCCCCTCCAAAGAATTTTTTAAACACTAGAGAAAGTGTGGTAGCATTGATCTATCAAAGTATAACTGCAAGAAATTGCTGGAAACTGTTACCAGTCACCATAATTTAGCGAATTTTGCAGTGGCACAAAAAAAAATCAAAGGTACGTTCGAATTAGGCTAGACCATTAAAATTTGATTCTAAAAAGCAAAGAAAAACAATGTCTTAAAACGTTAGCCTCATGTTCCACTACAACTGTCATTTCTTTTTGTTGAGTTGTCAGAGTTCAGTACCCCAAGAATTTATGTTTATGTGGTTGTAGTTGTTGATATTGCTGTTGTTAATGCTGTTGTTGCTGCTGTTGTTGTTGTTTTTGTGATGTTGTAATTATTGCCCTTAACGTCCAGGAAAGTATTAAGGTAAAATAGCCGTCAAATCTTGGCAAGTAAACATCGCCAAATTTAATGACATAAACTAATTTCTCAGAAAGCGAATGTCTTAAATTATTTCAGGTAGTTCCAATGGCTCAACCTGAGTACCAGCCCCCGCCTATGCCAGCGGTCCAACCGGAACAGTGTCCGATGGGCTGCAAAAGGAACTGTTTTACTTACTGCCCGCGTGACTGTTGTGGTGTGGCGGGAAAACGGGACAAGGTTCTGGGCTCTGGGAGTAAGGAGGACACCGCCGACCAAATGGAGAACGAGCATGAGGGGAGTGGAAATGAGAGCGTCGCTGAGGAGACTAAACAGAGTCAAGTAGAGGACAGCGATGAACAGCAGTCTACCAAGAGCAGTGAAAAGGAAGACGACAGTCCAAAGTCCGAAGAAGAAACAACTGACACTGATCAGGAGGGAAGCACGGAAAATCAGAACGATGAAGCTGAACTCGATGATTGAAAGGAATGTTGTCGTACAACGATGAACTAAAGTCACACACTTTTGAGAGACATAATTTACCAACTGAACGTCTCGTGATACCAACAGAAATTAAAGTCTTCTATGTCGAGGAGAGAATAATTTCAAAGAGGACTAATTCGTCGATCCTTGCTGTTTGTACTTTCCTCAGTCAATTAAAAACTTATTGTAAAAAGTTCACACACTTAATTCAGTTTTTAAAAATTCAAATTATCTTGGGAACAGTAACATAGCAGGTGTACTATTTCAGTACAATGTGCAGAGCTAATAATTTTTTAGCTTCTTTCAGGCATATATCTTATTTCGCTACTAAAGAAAATATATTGTTAGATTGCTCCAGCTTTTGTAAGGCTTAAAACATACTTCAGTGAAACCTGAAACGTCAGATCTCTTATATGTTGCTGGGTAACCTAGCATTTGGATAAAACATCTTGGACAAATAATATTTGTAAAGCTAAGGAACGCGTGTTTAAAAGAATGTAGTTCAATTTACGCAGCCCATCATCTTAACTAGATTTCAGTTTCATAAACTGTGTAACTACAGAGGAAGAAATAAGACAACTGTGAAAATTACAATTTGTTATTCAAAGAAAGTATAGTTTGGGTTAGGGTAAACAATGAACAATAAAAGATATTGTATTTAGTTGAAAAACAAAACGATTACATAAGGAAAATCTTAATTTGTACAATATATATATTATTTTGACTTTAATAAATTTCAAAACTTACTGTATTCTCTTGTACACCTGTATTGCGCATGCTAAATACTCGAGTTGATTAGGCTGGGTCGATTATACTGACTTAGAGGTTGAAATTTCTCTGAAAATTTATATACAACGCATACCAACTTGTTCCTACAATCCTGCCAAAAAAGAGTTTGGGACACTTCCTTTTTATCTGGTTTTTTTTATGCAAACTGCATGTAACCAACAGCTTACAGTTACTATACAAAGATCTTTCCCCCACTCCCCCTTAACAAAGTTGAAGTCCTTTAACTGCAAAAGGTTGTGATACATATTAAGCTCCTTACACCCAGTATTGTCCGGGGGGGGGGGAAATAGTCGAAATGCTGTTTTCATGAAAAGCTTTTTAATTGTTTAATCAGTCAGTTTTCAGTGGCTGCTAAAGTTAGCTATGAAGTTAGCTATGATTCCAAGATTTGCCGTTTACAGAATTCAGTAAGCGCAGGAGCCCATGGGCTCCTGCCTTAAATGCGGATCATTGCTGTTCGACTGAACTTCTGAGTTTCTGATCATCTAGTAAATTCTCAAATGAGTAAGTTACATTTTCAAATTATTTGGTCGGTAAAAATATTAACCCCAAGGAGGCAATAAGAAGTAGTGAAGGAAAGTCGAAATTTTGCATGATAAAATTGTCGAGGAAATGTCACGGACAAAAAGAATGGCTCTTAACTTTCTCCCCCATTTTTCTTTTTTCGATGTTTTCCACGCCGTTTCGACTTTGTCTTTATCCGTACTAACAATATCTGACCTATTCCCCTCGGGGGGAAGAAGATCTGATCGGATGATAGCGATGAACTATCTTCGGTCTCTAAAAGCGTAAATAACCATAAGCCTGTTATTGCCTTTGCGTAATATTCCTGTGCCATGAGTACTAAGTAACCCTGGCCTTGGCGGACTGGGACCGATGTTTCATTAACCAGAAGCCGGTGTTTTAACAACTTCAGTCAGTTTCTGTTCACAAGTTTCAAGTTTCACAACAAAGTTTCGTTCCAAAACATTCTGGGAATATCTTTTGGAGAACAAGGCTTGTTCCCTAATGAAAATCATACTTTTGGGTGGACCGGAGGCCAAAATGTACAAATAAAATTTTGCGTTCGCGTTAATTTTTTAAATCAAAACCTGTGCACGTGGTCCAAGGGGGACACAGTTCTCTTAAATTGCAAAAAAAAAAAAAGACCACAGCGGCAATTTGTTTTTCAAAGGCATCTAGCTCAGTACCTAAGGCCCAGGTAACAGAGTGTTCAATACAAAAGTCACTGGCAAGCTATTTACACAGTTATTTACCAGTCTGACATCAGAAAATCGCCATGCTGCATAGGTTTTGTTATGGAAATCAGTGACCCGTAAAATGCACGCTTCGGAGAGTCCATAAAAAGCCATGGTTATTTGAATTTTTTTCTTTGAAAAGAGCAGAAAAGTTTTGCCGCGTGTGTTATAGCAAAACGTAAAGATGGCTCGTTGATGAACGCTGTCGATACAATTTATTATTTCTGAGCTATTTTCGTAAGCCGAAAGACGATCAGATTGACATTTTACTGGTGGCGTATTTTTTGTTTGTTTTCTTTTACACTTAAAACAAATTCTCTGCCTTTCCAAGAGCTGTTCTTTTCAGCAATAATTCCTTAGTTAGACAAAACCATAGAGACCTCACGGGCTGTTTATATGTTAAGCTGGTTCTTGTGTTAAATTCTTTCACCTCAGTCCACAAACCACAAGCTACTTTTCACTTGTAATTCAAAGCCGTTAACTGTGCAACTTTGACTCTGTTTATCTCGCTTGGATAAGTTTCCTTTTGATTTATTAATACTACTCGAGAAACACAAGACTCTGTTTGCGCGGAGGTCTATCTGACTAGCGAGGTTTTTTTCAAAACGCGTCGAAGTTCAACGAGGCCCAGTTTTGTGATGATTTTATGATTTTGATCAAACGTTTTGTGTAATATATCTAAGTTGGATCTCTTTTGTCCCGTGGAAGTCTACCCAATCTAATATTATGAAATCAAGAAGTTGTTTTGTTATACCGTTGTTTCTCTGCCAATTCGTATGGATCTGTGCTAGCAAGGAGACGGCGGAAAAGGCGGAGAAACGATTTGACATTAGAGGTACGTGTTAGCGCCTATCTAGGATATAGCTTTGTATTATATCACACAACGCTATAGCTGAAGTTAAAAATCAAGCGACTAAAACCATCGCTGAAAGTATGCTATTAATATTGATGTGAAACTAAAATTCTTTTTACTATTGCACGAGGGCTTTTAATTGCTCCACATTAAGTTCCCTATTCTGGACTTCAGCCGGCTTCATGAAACCTCCAAAGAAGAACGAGAATAGTTTGCTTTATATACCAACGACAGCGATTACCATGTGGGACAAAACATATTTTTTGACTAAACCGGTAAAAACTGGTACCTTGTCTATGTCGATCATATATCTTGCCCTCTTCACTTTCAACATCCTGCTCTTACATATCTATATGCTAATTATCAACTGCTCGCCTTTGTAATTTCAACCCCTTTGAAATACGTTTTCTCGTTTCATCTAAAAATACTTGCGGAGATCTTTCTCCACTTTATTAGCTATGTTTTCAGTTATCGGCCCATAACATGTGGGTGAATCTGGTATTGCTTTGTATAGTGTGATTTTACGCTCTCTGTGAAATAATTGTTGTATGGTATACAAGTCAATTAAATCGATGATGTGTTTGTAAGCTCTGTCGCCTTAACACAGTTTGTACACCGTGTAAAGCTGTGAAGCTGCGGATCAAGCACGAGGTTATTTTGTAACGTAAAGTTCTCGTATCATATAATTTGTTAGAAAACAGTGATGTCCGTTTGTCGCCGTCTCAAGTTTTCTTAAAAACATATTTATGGTCTTGATTTCAGTACTTAAAGGAATTTTACACGATGTTTGAGAAAACCTTATTTCAAACTTGGTTTAAACCAATACTTAAACTTTTCACGTCAAGTTTAAATGCGGCCTGCATGATCCGCGGTTCATACCCATTCCATGAGTACAATAGGCCCTTTGCAGCTGGGGTCACGAGACCAAATTTTTTCGAGAAAATTTTCACATTATGGGCTATGACTTGAAGAATGCCAGAAATGGAAAGAGCGCATCGAAAATACCAAAATGGCCAAGTTTGACGCCCCTGGCATTAAAGAGTAAGTTTATATGACAGCTTGAATTTTCGGAAAATTTAAAGGATTTGTAGGGAAAATGTTGCTGGAGAGCAAGACCTTGCTCTCCAACAACTTTTTCCATACAAATCTTCTTATTCTTACAAATATTCAGACCGTCATAAAATCTCATTCCTTAATGATGGGGGCCTCAAACTTGACCATTTTGATATTTTCGGCATGCTTTTTCCATTTCTGGCATTTTTTAAGTTATAACCCATAATTTTATGAAAAGTAGGTCACGTGATGGCTTAGCTGCAAAGGGCCTATTTTCTAGACACGGCCCGCCGATATTTGATCAACAATACTTATGCATCCCAAGCCTCGCAATCGTGTGAAAAGTCCTTTATCTGGACACCTTCACACGAGACTTAGGATGTAATAACGTATGGTTATTCAAACTAAAGCGCCATTTAGGCATAGTGTCCATAGTTTGTAGGCAGTCCGAGAACGTTTGCCAACCATCTGCAGTACATGAGTGTCCACAAGTCACTATAACAGTAACAGGCTAAAATCGTGTTCTCTTTATTAACATTACAGACATTTGTAAATCATATGATTACATCACATTTAAAATGATTTCCTCTGAATAATATCCTTAGGCAAGGAATGGGTGGCAGCTCAAAAAATAATCAACAAGTTGGTTGACGAGAGTATAGGTGAGTTAAAATTATTATACCAAGCATCTGCAACATTTTTAACGAGCATATTTCTGCGTACAACATGAGACAATCAGATTTTTCTACTCCTAGATACAACACTGTTACTTATGGGAAGCACTCTTTGCGTTATGTAGGACCCAAATTATGGGACAAACTGTCTATGGCTGACAGATCAGCCAAGANTGGTGTTTTTATTCCCAGGCTATAAGGTTTTTTGACACTTTAATAAAGTTCTCACTCACACTCACTCACATACAGATTGTGAAAAAGGGAAAGTTACTAAATCGATATTTTTAGCTATTTATTTCAATTTATTATTACAAGAGTCAACGTTTTCCCATGCAATTATTTTCAATGGTAATCTGATTTTAGATCTGGTGCCCTTAGAAAGATTTAGTGTAAATTTTCGACGAGCATTCCTATTGAAGTTCTTTGCAGTAGCCCCTCTTCAGGTTGAGATCGACACACGGCAATTTTGTATTTGGGTGAATATTACAGTTAAATTTGTGTCCCTAAATTAAATCCATTTTATGTGTTTATGTCTCAAAGCTAGCAGAGTTTCAGAAGCTGAACGTGATGTTGAGCATTTATTAGAGTCAAATATCGGTAAGTAGCTACTTTCTCCAATCAATTTTTCAGCTTCTGATGTACAAGTTATTCAGTTTCTTTAGTGTATCATTGCAGCTGGTTTACTTCAATTTTTTGAGTCAGAGCGGTTTTCAGCTGAGTGTCGTAAAACCTTAACCAAACCAATTATTTACCAATTAGACTGCTCAGCCAATCTCAAACCGTTGTAAAACCAAAACAAAAGCAATTGCCTGATTACTTTCAACACTCAATTAAAAACCGCTCTATATGGAGTTATTGATTGGATTGTCTAATGATTGGAATTCTTTGATTCCTTTTCTTGTACACTGATGTATTGTTCTTTTTCTATTAATTAATTTTCCTCGCAATTAATTAAGATATTTTGATTGCCCCTCAGCTGACCACATCAAGAAGACCAGCAAAACAATCCTCCGAAAGTTACCAAAAGGTAATTAACGTTAGCTGACTTTTTGAAATTCTGAGTTTGGTTATTTGAAGAAAAGTAATAATCTAGATTCAAGTCATAAAAAGTGTGAACGCAAGTCCAGAAGTCCAAAACCTCAAAAAGCTGGGTGGGCTGTTACCTGCACAAATTATCTAGCGCGATTTCTTGATTTTCCTCCTGTTCTTTCTTAGCATATGTCTTTTCGGTAGCTTATCAAGGGCTGAATACAAAAAATCTGAGAGGATTTCAGCGCCACAATCTACGTCTTAACCTGTATTTATAGCTATCTTACTGACAGATATTACTACTAACATTTCTCCTCGGATTGCTTCATTCTGGATTGATTCAACAACCCAATAAAGCTCAAACAAAAATTTTAGGGAATAAGTACCACAGGACTGAAATATCTCATGGAGAAACATGAACTTGATCACATTTAAAGGAGCTCAGTCACGGTATTTTGAGTTATTTTGGCCACGTTCAAAATTACCTTTAATTTGAAGGAAACCTGAAATTATTAGTTTACTAAGACAAAAAAAAAAGAGATAATAATAAACCATAACAGAACAAGGATGGTTAAGGATGGAGAAGATTGACACAAATTAGAAACGACAAACTTCAAAAATTTTGGCTAATTTTTTCAATGGGCAAACCGGGCTCCTTTAAAAAATCGAAGTTTGTTCTTGTTTGTTAATAATAGGCGAATACTAATGAAGTCGCCATGTATGATGGGACTCAACTGAATTTTATTAATGTTATTGTCTTCGATGAAATTCTCTTTAAAGAATGTTCAGACAAGATTGAGCACTGCACGGCCCTGGCCAGGTCTGGAGTCTGCAAGACATCCCCAAAAGCTATGCGCAAACACTGCGCGAAAACTTGCAACTTATGCGGTACGTTCAAAGCATCTTTGTAAAGTTTGCATTACATTACATCTAAAACCAGGTGAAAACGGCAATCATGTTTACACAATCTGAAGAAAACTCGTGACAGTGTTTGGGAGAATTCGAAACATGGTTATATAACGCGGGTTGGCAGGCGTGGATTTATACTGGTACTGTCGATTTCTCCCAAACTATCTTGAGCTATTAAATCAGCTGTCGCGAGTATAAAGACATTGATCTAGTTCAATAACATTTAGTTCAATCAGTTTTGTACGCTTTACGTATCTGGAATTGTGGTCACGTGATAATGACGGGTTTTGTGTGTGTTGGGTTTTAGTCGCCATGTTGATGTAAAAGTTTTTGGCGGAAATACAGTTCTCATTTTTGTACCTGTTAGTCAGTGTAGTGATCCCATTAGGCGATAACAGCTTATAAAAACACAAAACAACCATTTCCTATTTAAAAAATAAATAAATAAATAAATAAATAAACAAAAACAATACATTGACCAGGCAGAGTGCATGTTATATGAATGAATTTTATAACGCATTACACTAGGTTGCGTTACACAGGATTTATTTCAATTCATTGCATTTCAATTTTACTTGGGAGCAATGGGGTTGGTCACGGTCTTAATCAGATCGATACTGTTTAAACAATAGAGTATTTCTGTTGAGGAACTATCGGCTGATAGTTGCCCCGCGGAAATGTGATGTTCTTAAAACAAATATTTCCTCGGACGGGCACTATGGGCAGATAGTGTCTCTCCGCCGATGGACACGATCGCGTCACGTGATCAATTTAAACCAATCAAAATCGGATAAAATTTAGTGGTGAGCTGCAATCTCTGTTAAAGCCGTTAAGTTAATATGCGTTTGTGTTTGTTTTCTAGAGGACAATTTCATAGATGTCACACCACATGCCGTCGCTCTCAAACAGAAAGCAAGGAAATATCTCAAGAAACGGCCAGCAATACCAGTCAAAACGACACATTTTCCAAAAACAGTAACACTGAAGGCGGTTCCACAGGAACCCAAAACTGAACACTCTTTACGAAAGAACAAGTTAGCAAAATACGAAGACGGGTTTATTCCAGCGGACACGATTAAAATTCTTCACTCGATCGAACCTCTTCTCTCGCAACAAACGAAAGGAGTAATGAAATTCCACGAGAATGACTTGTCTCCAGAAAACGAAAAGATTCGCGACGCACAGAAGCTACTGGAGTACGTGAAGGTTCTCAACCCACCCAAGAGCTTTCTCGAAGGAAAAATTTCCTTTGGAAACGATAAGAAAAAATCCACAACTTCTAAGAAACTTAAAAAGGCGGAGAAACACGAGGATAGAGAAGATGAGAAAGAAGAAAGCAGTAAACAAAAAGCCGAGGTTAAAGAAGATGATAAATCCAAAGCAAAGCCAAGCAACAAGGCGGCGAAATCGAGCGTCGCTAAGAAGAAACTTAAAACCAAGGGAACACCGCTGACGAGTTTAACGAAGACAGTCACTTACAAGAATCACAAATACAAGATTACGCCAGTCGTGGACTGGGAGCGAATCTCTAAAATGCTGGAAAGTCTTGGGTACAAGGCAGTTCATATTGTTGGTGTCAAAGACAAGAGCATCCACAAAGATCTTACAGAGCATCTGAAAAAACACGGGGTGGACAAAATTTTGACTCATAAGGGAAAAGAAAAAGCCGCTGCGGAAACATTTGTGTCAGCAGTTCACCGAGAAAAGTCTTGGCATAACAGTTAGTGATTCAAATAACTTTCCCTTCGTTTTCTCATGTTTAAATAGCGGAGTAAGCCCCATATATTGGCACCGACACACCTTCGACACTCATGAGCAGTGGCAAATACTCTAGAAATCGTCAAGCCAGCATGACTCGAGGAAACACGTCATGTTGGTTAGCTTTCCTTACACCACGGTCAATCCGTTTCGAGTCACATGGTTTGATGTTCCCAGCGGCGTGGCCCTTCGTCTCGGCTGCTTCAGCGAACTCAATTGACCGAGACAGCCTGAGAGAACGCCGTACAAGAACTAGGCAATTGTGTGGCAACTTTCGTGTCAAAAACCCCTAACTCAAGCAATTCTCAGTTATAGGATCTCTTTCCAAATTGTACAAAAAACTCGAACTTCGAACAGTTTATGGGTTAACTTTATCTCACCCGTAATTATTTATCTGGGATGCATGTGTTGAAAATTGAGCGAGGTTTTCTAATTTGAGAGTATTGAATTGGAAGGAATCTGTACGTTGTGTGGAGTGGAGAGAATTTATACATAGCCGTACAAGCTGCCTTGAGTAGCAGAACTTGTTAAAACAGCTCCGTTTTAAATATAGTTATTTTTTTTCGTTCCATGTTCAGTATCTGTTTCTTCTTCGGAATTATTTCTAAAAGCGAGGAGCAGCCAATTAATCTGGTCCTCCAAAACTTGTTCTTACCTAACAGCGCGTTTTGCATTTGCAGGTGAATATTTCAAAAGCCACTGCCACCCCGGGTGCCTCACAAGCTGCGTCTCCTCCTGCATGCCCGGATGCTGTCCTGAACACGACAAGGTTTCAGTCGTGACAAAACTCGCCAAGCACTGTCACCCATCCTGCCTTACGAGCTGCGTGCCTGCTTGCGGTAGTGGCTGCTGTTCGATAGAAGACGAAAGAAAGAGAGGACACCACTTCCTACATTATCAGAAGATTGCAGACTACCACAAGGCCAAGGACGCAGCAAAGAGTAAGAACAAAAGCCCACCAGCCAAGCAGCATGACGAACCCAAGAAGAACAACAAGAAACAACAAGACAAAGTTCCATGCCATCCTCAGTGTAAAGAGACGTGCATTTCGTCTTGTGGCAAAGGGTGCTGCTCAGAGGAGGGGGAGAGGTTGAGGGACGAGCAAGAGAGGAAGGAGAAAGACGCAAGGGAAAAAGAGAAAAAGGAGAAGGCAAAAGCACTTCAGGAAATGTACAAGCCACAGCCCAGGCTCTGCCCGGCTCCGTGTCCCCAGGTAAAGGATTTATAAACTTGGCTGCAGCTGAATGCAACGTTAAGCTCTTACGTCCCCAATTAATTTTAAAAAGATGATCAAATGTTGTTTGAGTGGTCAATACGTTTAGCTACATCTACAGCTAGTTCACAGGCAGGCCACTTAAACTAAAAGAAACGAACCCATCAACTAAACATAACAGGTTTAAAATTCCCAACTGGCGGGAGACAGACTAGTAGACTATTTACAAACATGACCGAGGAGTTGATCTACGGTGTACCGAAAAAAAACTCCAGTTAAGTGTACGTATACGTCAGAGCCGAACTTGAACGTGCGACCTACGGATTTCAAGTCTGGTGCCCTAACCTGCTTACTGTTCTTAGTAGGCGCCCTGTGGGGACAGCCAGCTAGTAGTGTTAACAAGTAAATAAAGTTAATTATTTCAAGTTCTTATTTTCAAAGAGATGACAAAAAGTCATATTAACCAGGCAGATTTTACGTCTAAAATTGTTTTTTAAAAAAAAAGTCTAGCCTCGTGGGAGATTTGAACTCTCGACCCCTGGTTTACGAGACCAGTGCTCTAACCACTGAGCTAACGAGGCTGATGATGAAATATCTGTTTTGTTAGGCATTTGACTGTGTAGTATCGGTGTATTTTTACCAATGCAGTATTTGGGCGAGCCAGTGAGGCCCATACTTTGTATACATGTACGAATACCGTGTGATATTTGCACTCCCCAACCATATAACTTTCGGAAGAATTAAATCGAAGTGTATAAACGTATGCATTTTCAGCAAGGCTGGAAGGCTTGATAAATTTGACGTTTGTACCTGACTACCAAGTTCGCTAGGCGTCAAGATTTTCTTTTAGGACAACGGATGTGTGTGTTTAAAGGGAAGACCTACCTACATATACATACATACATATATAAACTTTATTTTGCTTCGGATTCAAAAGTAGCACAACAATGCTAGTATCTTGTCCTCTACAGTTTAAGTTATATAGTTCAGTAAAGGATACACTCTTTAATTTTGTCTATTTAACCCTTTTAGGTTTGCGCACCATCTTGTGCAGACGACTGTTGTGCTTTTGGTAAATTTGCGGCACCGCCGGCACCAGGAATGCCCGCTTTTGAACAACCACATCCTGGCCTCGTCCCTAACGTACCATACCCTCACTCCAAAGTTATACCCATCGAGGCTTTTGCCTGTAAAGAATCGTGCAAGTTCTCGTGCACGTACGATTGCCCTCGCGACTGTTGCCAACCAGAAGAGCTCGCGCAGGAGGAAGCTCACGAAACCGCCGCGCTAGCGTCTCCAACGACAGTGGGAGCACCACAAGCTATGGCCTACCAAGACCTCGCTCCGGCTTTCCCCACCTGCCCTAGTCCATGCCCTGGTGGCTGCTACCCCTCATGCACTGTAGCTTGCTGCACCTCGGCTCTGGGTCTTCCGCAAGGGAATGAGGCCGAGTTGAGCCCGGAAGCCCATTCTTCGACTAAAAGAGTGCTGCACGTCACTCACCTGGTTCGACCAATCACAGGTTTGAACGGATGCGCGCTGTCCTGTGCTTCGCACTGCACGCCCGCATGCGCACGGTCTGGCTGCTGTGATTCGTCAAAGAGAAGAAAAAGATCAAGTCACCATGTTTAACTTTTTCCTGATAACAAAGGACTTTGCTTCGAATGCAAACTTGGAGCATTGCATTGTTTAACTCGCGCTTACTACCATGAAAACCCAAAGTGTACATTTTTCCCTGGCAATGTTCAAAATTGTAAATGTTTGCCGCAAAATCTTATTGATATGAAGAACAAAAACATACCATACAGTAGAATATCATAAATTGTATGGTGAGGACGAAAGGACAACCATTCCATAGACATTTCGTTCAAATAAACTTTTAGTCACCGAGGTCGCTTCCATTATGCTTTCTTTCTAAGAATCTTGTAAGAACTTCTTGCAAAGATTCAAGTATAGATGCAGTTCATAATTAAGATTGGACGAGCTTTTGCAAGTCTCTATACAGACTTAAAGCTTTTGAAAGACTGTCGACACATCAATTTCTATTTGTAGCTTAGGCTGTAACTGCATGTAAACGGAATATGTTTATTCGTTTCTTGTACATTATTATAAATGATGGTAGCCATCATACAGTATCGCATTTCTTTAACAATAAACTCTTTATATTATCACCACTGGCTTCAGCTTTTATTGTTAAGTGTGAAAATGCCAGATCTCCAACGTGGTCGTCATCTTGCCCTTCTCTCCTCGTGGAGATTGGGCACATCAATCCGTCTCCTCCAATCAACTCGGTCCTTTACCACTACCTCTCCCTCCCTCCATGTCTTGAATCCGAGATGGTCTCTCTACTTGTCGATCGTTCTTCACAACGTCTCTCGTCGGCGTTTGCCTTCGGGTGCGCATGTTTGTGCTATCTTGGGATTTTGATCTGAAGCCATTCTTAAAACATGTCTCAGCCATTTCAATCTCCTAGCTCTTACTTGTTGACTGATTGTCCTCGCGCCTGGTCTTCCTCTAATCTCTTCATTACTGACCTTCATCGGCCAGAAAACTTTCAGGATTTTCTTCAAGCATCGTAGTACAAATAAGAAATATTTGTTTGTGAATGGGAGAAAAGGACGTGGTTTTGGGGACATGCGTCGGAGTGGTCGGTGGTTGGTGGGAGGGGGAAATCCAATATTATTGACTTCAAGACTAAGCTGATAAAATAAAGAGTACAATGAGGAAGGGGAAACCCGCTATACGTCATAATTTGTCGAATAAGAAACATGACAATGAAAATGATTTTCAAGGATTTAAAAATGTTCGAGGCATTCCCAGGCTTATGTTGGAGTAGTCAAAATAAACTTGAAAATAGAGCGGGTGAAGAATATAAAAGCAGAGACCGATACAACATAGGATGGGTTAATAACTTGGTGTGCTAAATCCAGTCTGTGAGCATTCCTGTAACTGTTCCGAAGATTGATCAAGGATCGTTGAATACAAATACTTCCAATAGCCTTCCAAAACTGTCAAAGACAAGCAAGATCCTTACACGCTGGTCTTCTTTTTGTTAGGAAATTGAACTTTTAGATCCTGGGGGTCGAGAGCTCGTAGCGTGCTACTATCCTTGTGTTGTGCTTTGTTCTCGTCAATATACAGATGAGGAAATGAGCACTGGCAAATTGATGAGGCGAGGTTGATCTGTGATGAACTGAGTGTCCATCCATGATCCATAAGGAACTTCATCACTTCATCGCTTACTTCAACAACAATTATTTCGTTTTGATATATACATTGTCTTGGTCGGTCCTCCAAGGTTTCACAAAGAAGAAAGACACTGAAGTAATTTTTGCTCTTGGGACACTGAGTTTTTAAAGCTCCAGACCCGTCTTGGTCCCAAAATTTGAGGTCAAATTGCTTTGTTTACGCCAAACTTTAAACTCATCCCTTAAGTACGCATTCCCGGAAGGTCCTCCCTTAAGAATGTTAATATTTAACCTCGCCTGACTCGCAACAGTCCACCACGCAACATTCGTACGTTAACAACTGTAATATAAAAGATCAGCCAAGCGTTTATACATTAACGGATAAATATTGTTTCCTAGTTATCCATAAGGTCTTGATGTTTATATGTCTCTTCCTTCAAGTGGGTCACGAAAACAAGGGAGATATGACATGAAAATGAAAGGTTTTTAAAGAAAATTAGACTGCAAATACGATATCATCAACAGGGTGTTAAACCGCTGATTTAATGAAGAAGATTTTCCCCATCGACCACGCTCATTACATTAAAATTCACCGCACTGTTGAGATTTCTCGTGGCGGATAATTCACTTGAAGTATCTTCATCGACATTGTTTACACATATTTCAAAAATCCATGTTCTTCCAGCTAGTGAATCACTCAAGCACCCGTTGAAACAAAAAGAATTCTTTTGCACCACGAACAAAGCCTCGTGAATTAGTTATGAGTTAGCTGGAACAAAGGATCACAAAGGAGTACCATAACTTTTGCGCTAGCGATCGAGCGACAATTAGGGGACGAAAATTCACAAAAGCTACGGGGTAGGTTTGGAAAACCATTCAAACTTAGTATCTAGTGAATTGCTACTGGAAATTTTAGTTCCAGCCATGTGACATTTTTAATACTCCATTGGGTTTATGATCACCTTTTGAAGCGTTCCTCAAGAATCTCTCTCGCGTCTTGAACTATAAAAGCTATGAATTATTTCAGGCAACTCATTTAGTTTCGATTCAGAGATTTCCTCTTCCCCATTTTTATTCTTTATGGAGGACTGATTGCAATTTTCCATTTACCCACTTTCCACTGCAATACTCCAATCATTGGACCTTCAATTAAAATGGATATATATCGAACAATAACAATGAGTTCCATTGATCTTTTCTTTCGAAAATTTGTTTGCAAAATAAAATGCTTGCCGCAGTTAAATTAATTGTGTTTCCTTCAACAGATGGACAAGAGAATATTAAGCCTTTGGCTGATTGTTGCAGTGGTTTTAATTTTTTCGACATGGACGTGCGAGGCTAAGGGCAAACACCACCGTAAGTTAAACGCTATTTGCATACGAATCGGTAAAAAGTGAAATGCTAAAAATACACCTGAATCAAAACCAGTTAGGTTTCTTGCCTTCCTTATGTCATTTTGACTCTTTTAGAATTTTCCTATGGGCTGAATTTAATTTGAAATGGTTTAGTCGTCTTAACCAATTGTGAGTAGAACTGAACTAAATCAGTTGCACACCTGGCTAACCAGGCCATCGGAAAGGTAGAAGTTGCATTGTTTGAGGCGACTTCAACCTTTTAACGATTAAAAATTTCTATCCTTTAACTTGGTTATTGAACCATTGAAGAAATATAGTTAAAAGTTAGTTCCTAATTCAAGAAATCATTGGGTCGGGCCGACTTCCGAGTGATTTAATCAAACGCCATTTTGAAAATGAACCATCCAGATGTTTTCTAGGCGTCGGCGCCTATCACAAAAACAGATTTATGGAAGTAAGACGGAAGGAATATTTTGTCAGAACTTTTAGAAAATTAAGCAAAATCATGAAGTTAGTAGTATTTCAAGTCTTGTTTAGATCAGTCTGTGTGCAAAATTCTAAAATCTAAATGATTTATTATTTTCCGGGTTCTATTGTTCTTACAAGGTGCTTTATTGAAGACAATTTTAAGAACCGCAACACGGTCTACCGGGAGGTGCTAGAACAAACATTGTTTTGAAGCCTTGTAATGGATCTTGAACAGGCTTAAAATAATTCAATAAGCTCTACGCAAGGAATCGCCAACGTGCGTTTAAACATTTTTTTATGCAACCTCCCAGTAGAGTGCGATAATTGTTATATAATACAAACGTAAAGCCAATTTGACACTGATTTTAAAAAAGCATAAGAGGATGTTAAATATCTTAGAAAACCGAACGTGAGTGAAAATAATCAGATGGTATACCAGCCTCCCCCCCACCCGGGGACATTATGTTGACCAATATTTAGTGACTACTTGGCTCGTTTAGTTTTCACTTTTCTGAGCATTTTTCTGGCCAAATTCAGTTTATTTCATCTACAGTTTTATGTATACATTTCTACACTTTGTGGCAAATAAATGGTCGGCTGTTGTTATTTACTTGTTATTGTGTTTCCTTTTATAACAGACCATCACCACCTCAAAAACTATCTTCGACATAAAGTGGCAAAACACGAAACTGAGAAAAAGGTGAAAGAGAAAGAAGACAAACAGGAAGATAAGCCGGGTGAGTCCGTCAACCCTTAACATCAGGAATTAATTGTTTTGAAGTGCTGTGTATAGCAGTGAAAACAGCTTTAAGAAATCTTCTGTATGTACAAACTGATTTGTGGCAGCCTTCCCTTTCCGCTAACCGGTGGCGTCACGATTTTATAACCCATCCCCTCATGATCATTTACGGGAACGTTAGGGAGAATGCCTGGGTGGAAGACTGGGCTAGGTTGGATACCACTATTACCAGTGGCAATAGTTATTCCTCCTTATACCCGTGCTTTCCTCCTTTTGACCAGCGGAAGTTGATCTATTAAATCCTCCCCAAAATTAGCCATCTACATTCGTGAACAAATTAAAAGTCCTTGGGACGCTGATGTAATAGAGTGAATTATCTTTGTGTGAAATGAAGTCTGAAAAAGCTCTTATACCCTTTTAAGAATACATTGCTGTTCCCCCTTCCCCACCCAATACAATGTTAAAACTCGGGAGAAATTTCAGGTAATAAAAGGGTGCTAATGAGTGTTCGGCATTATAGATGGGGTAGGGGAGGGGCTGGGGAAGTGAGCTTGTAATCGTGTGCGACTGTTTTTTTGGCATGCGTGAAAACGTGTCAAAAGTCCAAATTTGCCCTAAGACTTATTTCCATGATTGATGCCTTCCTGAAAGGTGGATATTCAGTGTTTGGGAAAATCCCTAAATTGGAAACAGTGGTCCTCTAAGATTTTTCCATTCGTTGTTAACTGTGAAGTAGGCGTTAATTGCTTTTTCTGCGAGCTTTAACTTATTGAAGACAGAAGATGCTAAGCAAATCACAATCTATCGATCACTTTGGTGAAATTTTGCCCGAGCCCTGAGTATCCAACGTCGGTTCTAAGATGGTTGCTTATTTCTTTCAGATGATCTTTTTAGCCATAATAACAATTAGTAAAGTCTCCTACTGGTCGTCTTGCATGTCTTTGCAAGTCAACACAGTTTTTGTTTTCATAGAGTGTTGCCATAGTTAATGGAAGGAAATGGTTAGGAAGGTGGGTAAACATCAAAGAAGCAAACAAACAGACCAAGATTTATGTTGGAAGGTCCTTGACCCTACAAATCTTTGGTTTTATGCTCATTAACTATACATGAATTACATAATCGCAATGCTTCCATTGGTTAGTTGCATGAGCACACATAACCACCTTTTGTATTTTACCAGGTTTGGTGCAGGGTCAACCCCCAAAATAGCAAACAAAAAATACAACAAAGAACTTTGTCAAGTTTCCTAACCATTTCCCTCAATTAACTATGGTGTTGCTAACTGCTTGTTGTGTCCCAATCCAGACGATTCCAGCGGGAGTGGAGTGGGAAAAGATAGTGCAATTGACAGCGAAGAGGAAGAAAAAGGTCAGAGACTATACAAAATGTCTGAACGGAGTCTGAGGTTTTGCAGTTAGAGTCCTTTCATACATTTTAGCATGATTTCAAACAGATTAAAAATTATACCTAGCCCAGTACAGGGAAATCAGCCATCATAGTTTGATTTTGTAAAACAATACACTTCAAAAGGACTAAAAGACAGAGACCCGTTTGAAATTAACAACATACATGTATATGATGTCCACTTTCTTATTTGTCTTAAGCAGAAGATGAAGAAACCAGAGAAGAAAACTTAAAAGACGAAGAAGAAAACAAAGAGAAGGACGGTGAATCAGACAAGCGATCAAAGAAGAAACTTCACGATGAGGGTAACATTTCAAATTTTTGTTGATGTTCCCTTTCTATGAAGCAGAATCTAAACGAAATCTAACGATAATCTTAGTTTAGTGTGTATTCCTTTAGGATAATCTGGATCAGGATCAGGATCAAGATCAGTGATCCAAGATCACTCGGATCATGGTGCATCAAAGGAACCGATGAATCCGTGACCAGAGGGTATTCATCGCACCCTTTATAGATGGGCCTTAAACCAAATCCAAAAGGAACATTAATTCAAAATTTCGATTTCTCTTAATTTATAACCTTTTTGCAACTTATGGTTTTAAGTTGGTGGATATAATAATATAACCTTATTTATATGGCTAGGTTTGAGAAGAGTTATCAATCTTAATTAATAACTGAATATTAGAGCAGCTTTCAACTGAGCATCGAAATTAATCAAGCAATTATTTTGGTTTTGGTTTAACTACGGTTTGAGATTGGATGAATAGTCTAATGGGTACGTTATTGGTTTGGTTTTAGTTTTTCAGATTAGATTTCAGCTATTATTTTAAAAACATGATCATTTTCTTATTATTATCTGGACTTACTTTTATTTAAAAAAAAAAAACAATTGTAGTAGCCAAGGAAGTAAAGCTTTCGACTTGGCCACTACCACTTTTAAATGATTCAGGAGGATAATACAATATTAAAGTGTAATATTTATAAATCATTTATTTTAAATTACAGTTGAAGCTGATAAAGGATCTCTCAGAGAGCTTCTAGACTCCAGTATAGGTAAATGATTTGGACTGATGTCTATAGATATCGTCATTTAAGGTTGCTTATTATTAACTAATGACCAATTCCATTGCTATTGATTATCGTTTTCAAGAAAATCTTGCCAAGGCTGGAAAAGCAATTCAAGCCATTTTAGACGCCACGGGAAAAAATAAAGGTAAGATCATAATATTTTGTTGTTGTTGTTGTTGTTGTTTTGTGGCTGTTCTTATTGCTGCTGTTATTTACTTCTGAGACCTATTGTGTAAGATATTGACATTTTGGTAAGTTTTGAAAAAAGAAACATAAATTTATTGATTCGGCTTTGAGGTTTAGTGGTGTATTATGTCCAAAAAAAGTAACAGAAAGAAACGAAATACATATTTAGTGATGTCAATACGGGTTGCTATAGCAGCTAATTTGAGTTTAATAATTATTGGACTTTTTGATAAATGCACTGTATCACTTCGTGATGAAACATAAAGGACGATAAGGTCTAAGGTAACTTGAACTAAATGTTATTTTTTTTCTTTTGCATCATTTTTAGTCAGCCAAACTTGTCCTGGAGCATGCCCGGATGTCTGTGCACCCGGATGTATCTCAACCTGTTGCAGTCCTCCTGTTGACCCTATGGCTCAAGCCACGGGTCAAGTCCCGTACCCTTCCCCATACCAACCTGATCCTTATCAATATGCGGCTCAGCAACAGTACAGCCAGTACCCTCAGGTACCGCAGGTTCCCCAGGCTCAGGCCGCCCAGGCAATCCCAGCTCCTCAAGCCCCCCAGTACCCTCCACAGCCTGCAGCCCAACAATGTCCTCAGCAGTGTTCAGTAGTCCCTTGTCCCAGTGCTTGCCCATCTTCCTGTTGCAGTGCGCAACCACAGTACCCTCAACCTGCACAACCTGCGTTGAGCGCGCCAAATTTTCTAGTCTTACCTCCGGCCAAGCCCTCAAAACCAAACAACACCAAGCCGACCCAGCCTTCCAGCTGCGCCTCGCCATGCTCGCAAGCTTGTGCACCCTCCTGCCTGCCAAGCTGCTGTTCTGCTCCAATGGGCATGGGTATGGGCATGCCCATGGCAATGCCATACCCCCAACAGCCGCCAGTGATGCCTCCAATGCCACCAATGCCTCAGGTGCAACAACAAGCATGTCCACAAACCTGCCAGCCCGCTGTACCCGGCGGATGTGCACCGCAGGCTCAATGCCCACAACGCTGCTGTCCAAACGGACGCAGATGAAGGCAACTTAAATCGAACAGTATTGACACACAGGATTACAACACCTAAGAACCTAAAAGGTATAAACCTGATTTTCTGAAGGAGTAAAAACCTCAGGTTTTAGTGCGGTATTGTAATAAAACGAAAGCGTGTGTTGTCATAGCTATGGTTACGTGAGCTTAACTTCAACTATTATTAACTTAACTTAAAGCAACTCTATAAGGTTGCTGAACTATGCAAACCTGTTTTGTTATAAACTGTGTTACATGATATTGCCGCGTATTATAAAGCAAGCTTTCTTAAGATAATTCTTAAGAGCTAGGTATAAATCAATTCTATTAGACAGAAGCCCCCAATTTCACGGTGTCTTGTTATAAGCTTAATTAACTTTGAATAATGTCTTAATTAACTTTGAGTAATGCCTTTTATCTTCTTTCAAGAAATGGGTGACACGAGTAACCGCCCAGTCATAACAATGGGTGTAAATGTTTCAAAATGCTGTTCGGGGAGTGTTTAAGGTTCTTTTCCTTTTTTTTCAAACTTGGTATCATAACCAATTTTTTTTTTTTTACGTTATTTCTTTGTGTTTCGTGTTTTCTTATCAGCATAGAAAGCCCTCTGATTTAAGAATGTCGAATAAAAGTTTATTTAGCGGTCAGACCTGGCATAACTTTTAAGAATGCAAACGAGTCATTTAGCGGTGAGCACATTCCTAGCACTATTGTCGTCAACGAACGTAACCAGTTTGGACACTTTGTGATGTTTTACATAGAGTAAACAATGACGTGAACAAGATATTGGCGATCCGGGAAGGTAAATAGCAGCTTTGAGGTTGGTTAAAGAGTGGCTGTCCTTTGAGCTCCAGAAAATAATCCAAGCTGTCCAAACTGGTCTCGGTCATTTGTTAGGGCTTCTTGCCAAACATAGCAGCAAATAGTTATTCTACATGGCAAAGCTTTAACAAGTGATGTATTGGCTGCTGTCAGCAGCAAAGTCTACAGCAAGTGACGTGATTCTAAATAGAAATCGTGAGAACCGTTATAATGGCAATAGTTAATTAAATCATTTAACTTGTGTAAATGTTTTTGTCCTCTGTATTTTTTAGTTTTTCTCATCTTTGCTTCTACGAACGTAATAAGATTCTGTTGTTTGCTTGCCGTAAAATACCAGAAAAGATAACTATACGAAAACGAAGATTTATGTGAATATCTGCCACTTAGGAACAGACGAGCTTAAGATGAGCTAAAGAAAACCCCAATGATAAATTAAACCACCAAGGGTCCAGGCTCACGATATGGCCACTCGGTCAAAATGGCGGCGACAATATTGCAACTTTGAAACCAAAATTGCTAAGAAACATGATGATAAACATGCATTAATTGACGTTAGCATTTCTCATCATGTTTTGTCCATGAGGTGTTTCTTGACTGATCCACAGCATTGGAGCCACATGTTAATCGAGTTTTGCGGATTTTAAATTAACTCCTAACATTCTTCACTCGGACAAAGCAAGAGGAAATATACAAACTGAAATTAAAACATTTCGATCCCAAAAAGTCAAACTTCAAAAGGATCAACTGAAACGCCAACATTCTGACTGTCTGACTGTCTGACTGACTGACTGCATGACTGACTGACTGACTGCCTAACTGACTGACTTGCTGACTGACTAACTGACGGACGGACGGACGGACGGAACGACGGACAGACGGACGGACTGCCTGGCCGTCTGGTTGACTGACACTTATTTAATAATCTCAAATCTAGCTTTATTTTCCTTCACACGTGAGCATTGGTAAACCTAACCCCGGTTGTTCAAAGCATGACTTAAAATATTCGAGGCAATAGCAGTTTTTTGTTAAGTGTTTTTCGTTTTGCATAAAAGTTCACTCGAAGAGTTTTTCGTGTGGATTTGGACTGTGCAACATGGTCGACGTATTTTCGCGAACCTTATTAATGGGTAAATAACAAAATGGAACCCAACATTTAGATTTAGCCAAGCCTAAAAGCGGAGCTCCTGGGCCCAGTTGTTCAAAGCCCGATTAAACTAACCCAGGATAAGAGGAAATTTTGATTTGAGTTTTGTAACTTTGCGGTGAGGTTTTCTGGTTACGTTGTTTGGCCTTCTGTTTTGAGTTTGAACAATTTTAAACCACACAAAACAAAAGCAGTGAAAAACATTTTTATACTAGAAAACTTTACACTTCGGTTAACTTTTAATCCTGGGTTAGCGTTAGCCGGCTTCCGAACAGCCCTGACCTGATGACAAAAAGTTAACCTGACATGAGCTCGCGATCCAATCGAAAACTAGTACTTGATCAGCGGTCGACTTCAAAAAACACGTGAACTCGATAACCTCTAAACTTGAGCCGGCGATATAGTCAAGTGATACTAGTCAGCGGATACCTTGTTTTAGCAGGTGTCAATTGATCATAATATGGGTGTCCAAAATCAAAGAAGTACACTGGAAACCAAGGCTGCATGCCTCTGTCAACCTATTAGCTGGAGTATGGCCACCATCTTGCGCGACTCCGCCGTCGCCGTCGTGCGGACGCGCCCACGAGCAATAACCCTAGCCGCGATAAACATGAGAAAATCAATTCATGGGTTTCCTTTTCTTTCCTATATAAGTATGGGGCTCTGCTTGGGGCCCTTCGGGCAGCTGGAGCTCCGCTGACAACTGATAAGTAAGCTGGTAGTAGCGCGCCAGCCACCACCCTCAAAGACACATCCCACCCGGCAATGATCGACTTACCAAGAGCAGAGGAGAATCAAATCATGTTCGGAACTTTTAATTTCGGAAGGACGTCGGTAATACGATCAGAGATGTGATATCACATACTTCACCGGGAAATTATATCGCATCACTCCCTTGATTGATGGATCTTACTCACGGTTTTTTCATACTGATATTACAGTTAGTATTTCACAAAATAAAATACTGTTGTTGCGACTTTTTTGAAGCATAGAGAAGAATATCTTGTCTCTTCTATCGCGAACCTGTTGACAAAAATGTTTTAATCTTTCTATTGTAATAGATTAAAGGGAACTGCTGAAGTTTTAAAATCTTCTTTCCTTTTTCAGTTCCATGAAATCTCTAGTTGATTTTCAAACAGATACTTGTAAACTTAAAACGTCTACCACGAAATTACTTTTTAATTCTTTCTTACTTTTTCATTAAGCATTTTTGGTTTAAAAGAACCTTGCCGCGGGTCGGAAACAAGATCACATCTTGATTCGCTCAATGATCTTATCATCAAATGACTCACCGGGTCAATGTGCATGCGCTGTTTACACAGACCAGGGCAAGTACCAGCTGGGCAAGTTAAATAATTCAGCGAATAGAGGAATTTCGGAAAGGTGATTTCTATAACAACCCTCTCCTCTTTACTACTGGACCAAAAAGGGGAAGGTATCGTATTTTCAAATTTCCATTTTGACTTTTTAGATGTTAATTTGTTTTGTTTTAACTGTAGCTACTTGTGGAAAAGCAACTAAGCGATTTAAACAAAGAACCGCACGGTCAACTGGTCCGTCACATAAATACTACTCTTAACGCAAATAGTTCCATTTTAAAACGCGGACTCTTAGCTTAGACTGCGCGGTTGAATGTTTGAATCGAAGTCCTACGTTATTTTACCTACAAGGAAGTGATTCGTGAATTCAAAGATACCGTTAAAGCATTTAAGGGTTTAATGGCTGGTAACTTCTTCCATGTGTCGACATGTTAAAGAAGGAATTACCTGTTGTGAAGGGTTCTGACTTAATGTAACACGCCTATATTGTTAGAAATCCCGAACGGTTTTTTTTTTCTTCTCAAGTTCAAAAATATAGCTCCCTTTACTACATATTTCATTTCGTTTCTTAATAGTCTTAAAAGTCTGTTATTATATGAGGACAATATTCCCACGTGATGGTTTTCTAAGTTCTCATCAACTGGTTGATTGACATTACTTGACATTGTTGGGAGAAAAAATATTTTGATCGCACTTAGGGTTAAACCTTCGTAGTACTCCATTATGACCTCGTGATTGGTTTTAAACAAGTTTTTTTATTTCCCATATCTACCAGGGTCACGATATGCACTTTAAAATCACGAGCGGCGCGCTCTTAGCCGTGCTACTCTGCGTTTCATTCACCAGCCACCTCGTGCGGGCGAGAAGTTTAAGAGGTAAGCCTTGATATTGTCTGAGCAGTAGTGCAATAAATTCGATATTGAGACCGGTCGCCTGATTTGGAATTTCTCACACGGAAGGTAATTAATCAAATTAAGACCAAACCAGAAAAGAAAGAAAGTTAAATTAAAGACATTATTTAAATCATAAAATTAAATTTTTACCACCCGCCAATGAAGCCCATAATAAGACCCGAAAGAGACGTCGTCTGGCAAAATCCAATCATTTGAACACAACTATTTCCAAACGGTTTTGAAATAATTCTGCGCTATGAAGTTCTGTCTGCGAGCAGTACCAGCGAATTACTACACACTTAAAGTACTTTGTTTGTCTCTCTTAGATCTAGCAAGTATTACAAAAGGTAAGTGTTTCTTTAACCAGCCTATTAAGTCAACTACTGAAGCATACTGAGAGTAGATATGTGTGATGGCATAACACTAACAATCATTACAGCTGTAAGCAGTTTTTGTCAGAAATGACTTACAAACGAGACACTTTGGGTGATTGTGTGTGGCTTAGGGCAAACAACACATGACCCGAAGCTCCACTGTGATAAAGTTCTTCTTTTTGAACTATAACGTACACCTGGGTTATAACTGAATAATTCTAAGGGTCAACCTATGTAACTGCTTGAGACAATCTGTGATCGACTGAACGAACAAAGACCTAGGGGACGCAGCTCTGATCCTTTACATTTCTTATATCAAGCCTTTTCTAGTTTTTGACTTTCCCGACGTTGTTATCACTGTGGTTTCGCAAAAGCCACGAAACATTTCTTTTGCTGTTTACCTTGATAATTTGGCCTCACTTCAAGACAAAGATTACGTTCTCGCTCTCTATCTGCCTGTCATTGTTAAGAAAAATTCGTTATTAATCACTCGTAAAAGTGATTAAAAAGCAAGTTTCCTAACAGTTCTGGTATTTACTAGTTGCCATTACAGTCCTTGTGGGTTGCCTGCTAAGTAGTAATGCAGTCACGTGGCGCCTTAACACCAAACCAACCAAAACAACCAACATCTAAGAACACAAATTTTATCAATAGAGGCTAATAGGTCATTTCCGAAATGGCTTTTGCGTCAGTGTCAAAACGAGGCCTCGTGCGCAACCAGTCATATGAAAATGTGTTTCGCCTAAAGGTTCATTTTCATGTATGTATCAAACTCATTTTTAAATGAAAGGTTTTGCACTGAGACTCATTTTGAAACAGAGGCACAAGGGTTGATTCTGAGATCAACATAAAATCTGCTACATTTGCTTGTTCTAAGATGAAGGTAAAGAGAACACAGAAGAGATCGATAGCGAGGCGCAGGATGATGGGGACGAGGCTACAGACACGGCCGTCGATGAAGAAAATGCAGATAGTGATGATACAGGTGAGATCACGTGACACACGTTTGTCATACGTCATTTAAGAAAAGCGCCTACTTCTTTACTAGTTCATTTACCTGTTCGCTTGTCGTAACATAACATCGATTTTAAGTGACCTCTGGCCTCGTACCTAGGTCAACAGAGTTATCAGATCAGTTCAGGAGGTTGCGGGTTCACATCCTATCAATGTCAAAGATTATCTGACCTCATTTAATATCATCTCCTTGCTGCGACTACTCGCAACTGTGAAAACTTTGACCAATAAATAGCGCATTACTAAATATTTTTTCTTTCACTGGGTGTCTTAATCGTTCTACTTGATACAATCAATGTCAATTGTGCTCAAGATTTCTACTCGGCCCAGCCCTGTGTTTCGTCTGGTAGCTCTGTTCCTGTAGTTCGAAGTCCTGTTTCTCGGTTTGCTCTGTTTTACCAAACTAGAAATTTTAAAATTCTGATCGTCATGTTCTGTTCACCTTCAGATAATGATGAACAAGCTGTAAAGAGAGGTTATCTAGCAAACGAGTATGACTTCCAAGGTATGAAAACATAATGAGCATAAATGTTCGAGCAGTTAATGAGGGAAAAACGTAAGATAAGAAGCCATATTGTTCTCAGGAGCGGTCCCACAAGCAATTGCGAGATGAGACTTGGCCCATGAAGGTTTCTCTTACCCTCTTTAGAGGCGAATGGCAATAGACCTCGCTTACGTCGACCCTCAACAAGAGTAATGTATTTGCTTGGTTGTTTCGTTTGTCGGAGCTCCCGGCGCCATTAGTTAAACACAATTTGATGACGCAATCATAGCGAAGACCTAAGTTTAAATAAGTTATTTTAATTTATGTGTCAATTATAAAAGCATACTCTAAACGCCAAAATAGTTGTTGTAGTCTGTTATAAAACGTTTAACCCATTGTTGTTCTTTGGAGGGGCTGTATACATGTGGTTTAAATTGTTATCCATTTAAGACCTTCAAGTAATTCAGTTTTCAGTTATAAGTAGCGTTCAAAGGTGAAGGGAACACATTGTGGGGCACCGCCTATGATACTGAATGCTAAACTGGGGAAATGAAATTAGCACCGACAAGAATGCTTCACACTTTTAGTAGTGTTTTTCTTTTAATGGTAACTCAACTGGACTAACTACTGTTAGGTACTTTTGGGGGCTGCTTACTGGGAATGCTTGCCTTTATGCGTGGAGAAGGAAATATTAACAAACTACATAATATACGAAACTTAAAATTCACACTGTTTTATCTCATTGCCGCTAATAATTCATTAATTGGGGCTCTACAAAACGCCCATACACAACGAACCACAAGCGTATCACCATCGACACTGACCTTCCATGGTTTCATGAATTTTATCACGTGATCAAGGACTTGTCACACCTACATATGGCTTTGTGAGTGTCCATCAACTTCATTCTCTCTCCTCAACTCTTGTCTTACCTACTTCCTTAACTACTACGAACACAAATAAAAAGACGGAGAAAACTTATTTTCATCAGAAAGGCGTTCTTTAGAGAATGCATGTTTGCTCTCGGAACCACTTTTCTATTCAGTCAACTTTGCATTGATATCATTTTTGTCTTCTGCTTTCATAACAATGTTATTAGTGAGTGGTTGTAGGAGCCTGGCAATTTTTAGAATTAATGATCATGAAGAGATTTTTGATTACTTTGACGATTATTGTTTGCCACCTTAGGGAACTAAGAGCATGTAGATCCCTAACAAATATTTTGTCATTCTATTTGATGTTTGCATTACATTGTTAAAGATAAGAAACTGGAAGCCAATGAGACGCATTCATTTAGTTTCTAAATATAGCAAGGTTTGAAAGCACGTGGTATCAGATGTAATGGAGCTCTGTCGGAATGTTAACCAAGCTAAAAATGCAAATTAACAATTTGACGTCAGTTTTCCATGCGTCTGTCCTATTATTGATCATGAATTTCGTCATAACAGTGTCAAAGTGGCTGAGGATAGCCGAGTGGCCTTGAAATTCATTGTCAATAACAGGCCAGATGCATGAAAAACTGACGTCAATTTGCTTTTTTTTACGATAACAAATTGTCAAATTGTCCCGGCAAAATTTCCGCTCCCGCTCGTTGACCAATGACGCATCGTATAAATTATAAATTCATGCGTCTGTCCGCTTATTGACAATGAAAATTAGCCAATGAGCGCGCGAGAATTTCTGCAGTTATCGTAAAATAATGGAATGATCGTCTCTCAACTTGCCACATTTCATCCACCGTATTCGCCAAAACTATTCAACTTGGTAGGCACAGTTAATTAATGCATACCGCTTCAAGCGCGGATCAGATAACCTACTAAACTCTATAAAATAATGCCTTTAAAATTGCTAACCAGCTCAGCTGATTAACCGGTTGAAACTCACTAAATTAATTCTGACTAACCACTTGTTAAGAAAAGATACCTGAAATCTATATTTGTAATCCAAAAGGGTCAGTTGCTGCGTGGCACAGTAAACAGTTCAAAAGTTGTAAATAGTAATAATTCAGTGCCAAATAAACTCAATGTTTATAGCAGACGTTTTCGGGCCTAGGCCCCTTCCTTGGGGCTAAGTTTAGTTTTGAATCAGAACTAAACTTAGCACTGAGGAAGGGCTAGGCCCGAAAACGTCTGCTATAAACATTGAGTTTAATTTGGCACTGAATTATTACTATTTACAATTTTTTACCTGAAATCTAGCCTGCCAAATAGATAAAAATTTGAATTTTCATCAGTTGTGACAAATACCAATTAACAAAAAGTTTAAAATTTGATACCCAACTGTAATAAATGAAATTTCCTCAAATCAGTCGGTAAATTTTCTGAACAAATTGTAACACAGCACAACTTTTAAAAGAGTTACGCGTTTTTTTTTTCGCCCAGACGTTCCTTGAACAAACTCAAAACCAAACGTTTCATTTCTGATCTTCTTGGCCTCTCCATTCCTTTCTAACCTTTCTTATTCCAGGTTTTCAAACCTTCACTCCGAAGCCATATGTAGTGTGTTTTGCCATAAATCCAAGAAGAGTTAAACCTGCCTCAAAGCCTACAACACCACCGACGATTTCACCGACAGGTATACCACAACAAGACGAAACCTCACATTTACCATGTAGTAACTTCAACTATGGTTTTAACCCAAGTGTCTTTCGCAAGCCATATTGTGTCACTGGTTTAAAACAAGTCGTTCAAGGGGGGTTGGGCTGGGGCACTGATTATTCAGCAAAAACCCATGAAAGAAAAATGTCTATCAAAAATAGTCTATTTACTGATCGAATAAAACACCGATCACATTACTTTTTTTGCGGGCATTTTAAAAGTTAGTAGAATAATTTAGTAAATTAATTTACAGTATTTGGGACATCCTTCGACATTCTCCAGTTTTGATTGCATCACTTGGCGCGTTTCCAATGTTCTGTAAGATTGAGCTTTTCCTTAATTGGTATAATTGTCTAATAAACAATTAAAACCGGGTTTGCAAGATTACAAAGGGGAAATTCACAGTCATAGAGAAAATATATAACTTCACTTTTTTGCGAAATATTTAAACTTCTGACGACGAAAGGTGTGGAAATTTACCACGGAGCTGTGCAGATAAGATGTTGCATTAGAACGCCAATATTATCACAAACGGTCTTATTTCATTGACAGATGAAGCTGCGGAATCCGGAAGTGCAGAGGAAAGTGGAAGTGGCAATGAAGAAGAACAAGCGCCAGAGAGTAGGATAATTCGTTTCTTTGTTTGCTTGTTTTTTTGTTTGTTTGTTTGTTGTCTTTTTGCCTGCTTTTTGTATCTGCAGTCATTCCTATTACTTAGAATTTATTACTTTAGTTATCTACTAACTATGTTAGTCAGTCAGTCAGTTTGATTAGTGTTTGGGAGTTACATGTGATTTCTTTTGTTTTTCTCCTTTGATTGCTATTTCGTTTATTATTTTAGTTTTTTTTGTTTGTTTGTTTGTTTGTTTGTTTGTTCTTTATCTGCATGTTCTTTATCTGCTTTATCTGCTTGTCTACCCATTTGACAGTGATAAGTCTAAACATTTCATCGCTTTCAACTTGCTGATAAAACTGAACATGTATTTCATCTTTTCTTTCCTACGCAGCTCAACCGATGTGTCCTCCACCATGCATTCGCCCTCCAGGACCAGAGCACTGGGTACCACGCCCCCGCTACGAACCCGGTCCCGCCATACCTCCTCCGCCACTTGAGCCACCCCCACCCCCACCACCCTGTCCTCCGCCATGCATGCAAATGTGCGCCCCAACTTGTGATCCGAGCTGCTGCCAACCACCCGTTATGATGCCACCTCCCCCTCCTCCGATGCCAGCTTGTCAACCATCGTGTGCTCCCACCTGCTGCCCACCACCACCACCTCCTCCACCACCGCCACCACCGCCACCACCCCCACCGCCAATGATTTGTCCTCCAACATGCCAGCCAAGCGCTTGTACTCCAGCATGCCCTCCAATCTGCTGCAAGCGTGATCAATAGACAAGTTAGGATTTCGTCGACAAAACTAGAACTTTACGGACGCGCTGGTACAAGCAACCGAGGAACACAATTCGTTTATTGCTATGTCGTTTTATGGTCTACAAGATGACTATTCTGTACATACCGTACCGTGTAAAGGTCTTTTGCTTTGTATCTGAGAGCATAATTTGACGATTTCAGTAAAGTATTGTTAGTGATTCAATAAAGTATTATAGTTTATTGGATGGGGCACTTCGTCGATCTTATTTTTGTTTTACCCACCAGTTTAGCAAAAAAAAAAAAGATAGTGGGAAATTTAAAAGGAAAGGTTTATTATGCCGAATAATAAATAGTATTGTTGTGTATCCTGTTCAGGTTCAAAATTAAGAGCTTCTTTCTAAGTTGCGCCATAGTTGTGCCATAGTTCTTCCATTTCTGCATGTTCTATCTTGAATATCGAGCGAAAGAAGGTTTGGAAAAAGAAAGATCAAAACCCCGGGGGAGGTATGCTATAAAGATTTCTGCCGAGGGTTAGGGTATGATTTTTAAGGTTTTCGATCCTCAAATAGGGTATCATTTTTGCCACTGTTGGCATTGTGTTCCCAGTGTGGCTCCTTGGATAGGACACCTAAATTATATTAGCAATTATAATCCATCAAATATTTTCGCTCTCACGCGTTTGGTTTAAACGAGTCACGTGACTGAATATTCCCTAGCTAAAACTGGGAAATATCCAAGTGATATTCCTCAATTTTCAAAACCGCCCGTGTTGCAAAAAATATTTGAAGGATAATAAACACAACAGCCTCATTTGGCGCGAAAATATGCTTGTATATTTGTCCTTGGACATTATCTGTTCCTCAAAGCTCACATTTTTCCTCGAGCTACGTTCTATTCTCGGAAAACTGTTCGCTTCTGGGAACAGATAATTTAGGCGGACAAATATCCGAGCATATTTTCGCGCAAAATGGAGGCTATTGTTTATTTATTCAATTTGTGTTTGCTTCATCCTTAAATAGGGTCAGGGTTTAACACCCTTCGCGGTACACACCTATCCGAGATTTACAGTAGTACATTCCCCCCCCTTCCCGCCCTAATCAAAACATATGACATACGTTCATCGTGACATCGGTATCATATGATTATAACATTTAAAAAAAATGATTTACTTTCTAATCTAGAACGTTCGCTTCAAATGTTTGAATATTACTTCATTTAACAATTGAAGAAAGTCGAATATTTTACGGAGTGGAGATCTGGAGATCACCTGGTCACGTTATCGATTATCTCTTCCCGAAGCGACCTTTTCTTTCGAGAGTCCTGCGAGACATGATAAGATATTCCTCTTAGAAAGAATAAAGGTAATGACTTTAGACTTTTTGCGCTCGTTTACCAGCTTCTTCCAGACATATTTGATAAGACAAAGATATTTTTAGGCCCGAGAGAATTATTAGCCACTGTCCGGAAATCGAGCCTAAAATCTTGTTTCCTGTTCGACGGTCATGGGAATTAAGACCTCCACTATTTCTAAGCAAAACGACAGAGCCAAATAACCCAGCGGGATTTTAAGTCACCAATCAGATTGGTGAGCAAAACGAGGGAACTGAGTACGAGCTCGAGATTGCCCAGTTATCGCTGGTGCCCACTTTTTTGCTATTAACTATGTATGGTTCTTCTAGCACAGAGTGCCGAGGTTGGGATTGGAGACTAGAACAAGTCAACGGTCGCTAAAACACCGCCAACGTTTAACGAAGATTAACGCTCAAACTCGTCCCCGGGGACTCTCGACTGGCAAATTCCAAGTGCTGACATGCGACTCAATCGGCTTAGGAACGTACTAATTTTTGGATTGTCCATACTCACAGCCCTGAAGGGTTTTAATAGAAGTTGGATTTCAATCAAAGAATCTATAATTTTACGCTTTATTTTTATCGTGAAACTGCTGATGATTTTAATTGAAAAGTTATGAAAATAAGAATTATCTTTTCTTACTTGTATGACTTTATTTCTTCCTTTCTACCATTGTCTCAATAGAAGCAAGGTAATTTTAAAAACGTTCTTTAATTTAATTTTAAGAGGATAATTTTCTTTGTTAATTTTAAGACCTGGTCAAATTCCTTTATTCTTCTCTTCGTACCAAAAACTACCTGCAGTTTCAGTTCTCAGCGTATAAAACATTCATGTCCAAGAGCAAACAACCCGTTATTTTCTCTTTAGAAGCGTTTTGCCAAATATTATTTATCCGGTCTGCAAATGCCAACGAACCTACAGCAACCGCCGTGCTGATGACGTAATGCACATGGGCTGCAATCATTGACCCGTGACAAATGTTTTTTTACTTCTCAATTTAGCGTCAAGAAGAAATAGAAACATACAACTGGTAAGAGATTTGAAATTAATTTTTTTGTTTTTCAGGTAAAAATTGGCGCGCATTTGAGACGTTTGTCTGTCTTGTGTTTGACCTGACAATCGAGTATAGGTCGATATTTGGTACCTGTTGATTTATTACTTGTAAGGTTTGAGTTTTTTCTTCGCTTCAGATGATCTAGGCTGTCAAGATGGCCAAGTTGTGGCTTGCTTCAGCGATTCTGTTCTGCGTGGCGGTCACGGTCCTGAAGTCGGCAAAGCTAAACAATCGCGAATCAGGTGCGTGTAATAAGTCGCTTATCACCCGTCAGATATCAAAGATATTTCATGGTTTGCTTCGTGTGGCTAAGTTAGGGGGATTTTCTCTCAGCGTTTAAAATGAATAGGTCTAAAATCGATCATTTCAGACAAAGTAAGCTGGAGAGACATTTTTTTTCTATCAAATGGTTTCATGAAAGTAGTGTTCATATGTAAATGCACCAGTATGAAGTCCGACAGACAGGGGTTGGTCAAAGCTAAAAACTGTCCAATGATCACCATCCGCTAAAGCTTAAAATATTTAGGCAAACGATGCTTTCTTAGTATTGCAACGAGAGAAGAATAAAATTCCTCACTACAAACAGCTGCTGTTTAGTTGACATTTTATCAAAGAGTGCCAGTCCAATTCGGAGGTCAAGGACGAATTGAGCGCATTTATATGCGATTAACACCTCTAGTTGAAACCATTTTCAGTGAAAAGCAAAGCGTTTTAGCGATAGCTTAACAAAATTTCAAAGTTGGATCTTCTAAGCGGATAGGTTTGGCAATAATTATTTAAGGCAGAAAATGTATTTCGCCAAGAAAATTCTTATCACAGCGATGAAATCTCTTCTATTCTACGGTCTTCATCGATGATGGTTTTCCACGAATTGCTGCTAATAAAATATTTAAGGAACTGTAACAAGATACGGTTACAAAACGCTACACAGGAAAACATGATTCGGAAAGTTAAAGCATTTTACCACGAGAAAAACACGTGCTTTGTAAAGGCAAATCTTGTCTCCCGGTAACTAGGACAAGTAATCGCATTTCAGTATCACTTTTTTGGGTTCTGAAATGTTCCCCGTGGGAAAAGCGGGGGAACACTTATGTTCCGTTACGTAACTCGTCAGCAACTGAATGCTGCATGCTGGGGCAATGTTGGTAGTCCTGTGCTATTTTCGGCGATGTTGGCTATCATTGAATCAGCGGCCGAGATGAGGGTCTTAGCAAATTCACTTTTTCAATTGGTATATATCATACTCTAAAATTCTCAATTGCAATTTGCACCTACTCAAGTGTGTTGTTCAAGGGCTTTTAGCATTTTTCCAAGGCAGAACAACAGAGTTTGAAACGGTCTGTGAGACTTTTCAATTTGGCATCGCAACCTTGCGCATGCGATGCGTAACCCCTTAAAACCTGCTTTTATAGCTTAAGTCCACTAACATGGAATTTTACGATAACTGAAGAAATCCTCGCGCGCTCATTGGCTAATTTTCCTTGTCAATAAGCGGACAGACACATGAATTTATAATCTATGCGATGCGTTAACGAGCGAGAGCGGACAATTTGTTATTCGTAAAAAACAAATTGACGTCAGTTGTTCATGCCTCTGCCCTGTTATTGACAATTAATTTCGTCATAACATTGCCAAAGCCCTTAGGCTATCGCCTCGTGGATCTACAGCTACTTTGGCAATGTTATGACGAAATTCATGATCAATACCAGGACAGACGCATGAAAAATTGACGTCAATTTGTTAAATAGACCATTCTATTATCGTTTCCATATATAGAGTCGCCTTAGGTTTGACTTTTCGAGTTTATTACTCATGAAAGTGCCCCTTTAACAAGAAATAAGACTGGTGGTCCCTGTAATAACAACTAGCAGCTCCCTGTTACATAGATTTATCATGCGGCCAACATAGTGCTTCAGTAACAATAGAGACAACTCAAACCGCAATAGTCACACGTACTCATCGTGTGCCTTTTTCATGAGTGCATTCTCCGCTATCCTAAAAGTATCTCGTGAGGCTGAGGGTGAGAACTAAAGAAGAGTAAACGTGCTTAGCAAGCTTTCAATATCTTTAGTTTGGTGCTCTAGGAGCTTTTCGTGTACGAGGGAAAGTGCTTATTCGTAATATTTTGTAGTTTTGACCAAAAGTGCAGCAAAATCGTCCCTTTGTAAGAAAATTTACAGCTTGTGATGTTCCTCTAGGTATGATGTAAACGCACGTCGGATGTTTCAAATCACTGCTTGCAACAAAGCCGAAGCGCTGCGCCTTCTTTTAGTTGTGCGAATTTATTATTTTTTATGGGAGGGGAAGATGGATTGGGTGTCTAGTCACCCCCTCTTTGGAGGAGCTAAAAAAAAAAAATTAAAAAAAAATTAAAAAAAAAAAATTGTGAATATCAAGGAAGAAATAAAGGCAAACACTCTGGAAAGGTACCTCATTGTAATTTCGACTTTGTGGTGTTACTAATATTTCTGGTGTAACAGTTTTCAATTAGGTTTCAATTCTCAAATTGCCACATGTCCCATTTATTCTGCAACGCCAAGATACCAGCCACTCCCTTGAAAAATCAGGTGTCCGCCCCTGAAATGCCCTATTTATGTAATGATATTTTTCGCTGTGAAACTATATGTTCTATAGGACGAGGAGAAAGAAGTGTACCAGCTTTACAGCAGATCTCCCGTCTGGAAGATGTGAGGAGCCAGATCGCAAAGCCGGACAAGAAGGGTAAAGATAATGATGTTAATAACGATGATGGTGACAAAAAAGAAGACGGTAAAAAAGAAGATAACAATGAAGAACGTAAAAATGAAGATAAAAATGAAGCAAAGAAGAATGATAAAGGAGATAAACACGAAGAGTTGAACGATAAGAAGGAAGATAAGAACAAAGATAAAAACGAGGAGAATCAAAAAGAAGATAAGCCGCAAGAAGACAAAGATAAAAAAGAAAGTAAACCAGAGGAATTGAACGATAAAAAAGGAGATAAGAACGAAGAGCAAAAGGATGAAAAAGAAGATAAAAGCGAACAGCAGAAGGATGATGACCTTGACAAGAAAGAAGACGAGAAAAATAAACAAGGTGGTATTAATTAACGTAAAATTGTCTCCATAAATAATCAAATTCTTCGCTCAAGTACTGTACGAAATGTGTGGCCAGCACTAAGGAGAATTTCGATATCGGCTTCATGCAGTCGAGTATATTTGTAATCGTCTCGTTTGTTTATTTCTTGTTTCGGCAGCCAGCACGCCCAAGAAAGATTCTCCCAAGCCGAGCCTAAAAAAACATCAGGACAAAGTAGCTTCTGCTCCGGCTAAACTCCCCGCCCCCGTGCGGAGGCCTCTGGTGGCACGACGCCCCGTGTACCCACGTACGGGGTACCAGCCTTATCAACACCCTTATAACACGGCTCAGTCTCCAATGGCGCCTATGTCCGCTGCGGGAGGAGCATGTTTGCAGCAGTGCTGGAAGAAATGTACACCGATATGTATTCAACACAGATGTTGTTTACCAGGAATGGGTAGTCTTCCGATGCCTGTCCCTCCCCCTCCTCCATCCTATCCTCCACCCCCACCCCCTCCACCTCCCCCTGTAATAATGTATGCCCCACCACCACCTCCCCCACCTCCTATGCCAATGGTGTATCCTCCGATACAAATGTGCCAGCCATCTTGTGCACCAGCCTGCTGCATGCCTCCTCCCCCTCCCCCTCCNTATTGAGCAGTACTTTCATGTGGTACTGTTTATCATGCTATACAAGGTGGTTCTACCTTTTAAGTCTGTGGATGAAAGTGTGCATGAACTGCAGTTCTTTTGAGAGTGTAGGGAGTACATATGTAGGTGTCATGACACTGAAAATAATAAGACTTAAAATCATGAAACAAAGTTTGATTTATTAAGTCATTACCATTAATATTAATAATGATAAAATGTTATTTGCCATAATAATATTATATTTCATTCATACGAACAGCTGACTATCCTCTACTGTTAAATTCTGTTCTAATTCTATTAGAAGTGCAAATCCATGCAAGTTCTCTTTAAATAGTTTCGATAAAAATATAACAATAATATTGCAATAATTACTTGGATGAGAAACGAGCTCAAGTCTGCCTAGGATTGTTAAACATTATTAATAATAATATTTTACATGTAATTTTTTCTCATGATCATAAAACTGTGAAGAGTGAATGAAAGCCATGTACTTTAAAGCCTTGGAAACTAACGATAAATTGCTGTTATTGGCATCGCTGGTGGTAGATCATCATCATCATCATCATCATCACCATTATAATCCATTTATCCTTGCTGCACCATGCGGCACATCAGGCCTTGGATCAAAGATCGTGTTGCTTTGTGCTCACTCTACACAGTTACTATTTAAGAGAAAAATACATCTCTGCTTGCTGTAGATGGACATAATTTATGTCCACTTTTTTCTTACTGTGTACACTAATTAAATTAACCCATTACCCACAGTACTGATAACCTAAACTTTCTCCTCACTGGTTTTCACACNATTTTTTCTCATGATCATAAAACTGTGAAGAGTGAATGAAAGCCATGTACTTTAAAGCCTTGGAAACTAATGATAAATTGCTGTTATTGGCATCGCTGGTGGTAGATCATCATCATCATCATCATCATCATCACCATTATCATCCATTTATCCTTGCTGCACCATGCGGCACATCAGGCCTTGGATTAAAGATCGTGTTGCTTTGTGCTCACTCTACACAGTTACTATTTAAGAGAAAAATACATTTCTGCTTGCTGTAGATGGACATAATTTATGTCCACTTTTTTCTTGCTGTGTACACTAATTAAATTAACCCATTACCCACAGTACTGATAACCTAAACTTTCTCCTCACTGGTTTTCACACATTCCTTGAGACATCAGTATGGAGAATTAAACTGTAAGTATAGAATGACTTAGTGATCAATTGTCTCACTCTTGTGATCTACCTACCTAACTACCTACCTGACTGTACTGTGGTAGTATTAAAAGAGAAAATAAGCAAATGTATGACATATAGATGATCCATATTAACTGAATGTACAGGAACAGAAGATGCTGTTTATTGATTAATTACTTTCTGTGAAAAAATGCTAGTGCTGTAATTAATTTTGTGTCTCTATTATAATATACATAGCGACACTCGTCAACAATTATTATTGGCAAAAACTCTGATCAATCCCACTTTTTTCAGGCTACCAGACTGAATAATTGAGTTTCCATTATATGATCATCAGGGTGCTTGTTGAGGAAGTAATCCAGAACACTAAGCCTTAGGATGAACTTTCCTGATGTTGAGATAAACAAGCATCAATAAGTTTAATACAGCTGTGAAGATCAAAGCAACAGCTCTGGTGGCTTAGAACTTTACAGCCGTGATGATGACAAATCCTTTTAGTGCTGAGATGAGGACAAAGCTACTCTGGGATTATGGGGTGGGTCATACAAAGAATTCTTCCTCTCCCCATTTTCCACTTACTAAAATTCAAAATGGCAACTTTACAATCAACACTGACAGCCTGACAGTTAATTCCATAGACAAAATAAGAGTGACTTCACAGTCCAAGAATACAAATTGTACATAATGTGGACTACGTTTTATTACTAACAGAACTAGTTGATCATTGTGCCAAATGATTACTACGTGGAAAGTTCGTTTAAGTTTCCAAAACACCATTATTGTCCTTTTTTTTATCACTGGACAGTGCTTTGATTGACCAAACAACAGCATTACATGTACACAAGCAAAACCTTTCTAGGTATCATCTAAAGCAGTTAAATCTAAGGCTAATTTAATATTGTATCTTTTTGAACTGTTCTGAACAAGCACCAAAATCGTTCATAAATTATAACATTAACCGCAGTTATATTGCCTCCAATGTGATGCTTGGCCAGTATATTTTTTAATACATAATGTATTATGTCTCTTGTATTTGCCTCTTGGACTACTGTCAGTTGGTACTGATTATTAAGTGCAGTGTCTGATATTTTAGCCACACTAAAACACACTAAGTCCTTAAAGCCACCCTTGTTTGATATCACATTAAATATTTTAGTAGAAACTTAAGCCATAAGCGTGATTGTCCAATACTAAACTGACTATGAATTTGACTGTTTTTGTGATTGTCAACTCCATAGGAGTGTCTATTTCTTGACACATGTATTGAGAACTTACATTTTGGCCACTTGCAAGCTTTGTATAAGTTAAGTTTGTGGGAGATCTGACTAGTGATCTAGTGATCAATAACATGGAAAGTTTAGTGTCTACTAAAACACTTCATGCTATTTCTTTTCTCTGCATGAGTGGTGGTTTCTTGTAGAAAATGTTATCTTACAAGTTGTCTGTTGTGAAAATGTTAAATACAAGGCACCCCTGAAAAAAAACATGGCATTTTAATTTTGCCTTAGTTTGTTCATCAAAGTACATTTGTACATTCATGTCTTTTTGCAATGTTTGTGGTCTCTTTGGAACAAAAAGTATAGGAACACCAGTCGACAGGTCTAGGTATGGCCTGCTTTGTTCCACCCAGTGCTACTTCCCGCATTCTAGGGTCTTGACTTTCCATTTGAGCTCCTGTTGTTGAATGAAGATATTTTACTGCAGAGGCATTCGCCCGTTGCTTATTGTTAAACAGAGTTTCCACTCTGTCATGGATAATCCTCTGTCTTTGTCAAGATCACAATCATTTAACAGCTTTTTGCCACATTTTCTTCCTCGTTTGATGTTGCCAAGAATTTTTTTCATAGAAGCTGTCAGAAATTCACTAGATACAAGCAGTTTGTCCCTATTGCTATCCAGTCGATTAAACTTCCAGATAAAAACTTGCTTGTCAGTTAGTAATGAACCGACATAATGTAGGTCCCCTGATCTGGCACTCCTGCGCTGATTTCTTATCAGGGTTTCTATATTATTAAAAAAGACAGAAAGAAAGAAAGAAAGAAAACAGTCAAATTAAAATGACAGAAACAAGACAAGTTATTGATTGTTAACGTTGTTGAAAACCAAGTTTTGCTTTTGTTATAATGCAGAAAGGTTGTTACAACTTACAATATTTTGCCTCTGTTACAGAGTCATAGTCATTTAGTTAGATCAAAACGTCGATTTATAATATATGTTTTTTTTTTTTTTCTGCTTTGTTCTCATTAGCATATTGAAGATTTGAGGTTTGGAATTGCTCTAATAATGAATTTTATCTTCAGTTATTAGATGGCAAAAAGCCATGTAATACGTGGGTTGGATTGGATAAAAAAAAATTGATGTGAGTTTTTTAAGCCAGTTGCGCAGAGTAGTAAGTGGAAGACCAATTCCTTTTCGTCAATCTTGCTGCTCTATCAAGAAGAATTAACTAAGTCAAATCATGATCCTCCACTACAGGTGTACCTGAGTGACTCTCATCACCAGTGGGATAATCCTCCTCCAGATCCTTCCTAAATAATCTCAGCATATTTCTTTTGAATGAGGTCCACAGGTCTTGTGCACATTCTAAATTGAAGACGAGAATGAACAATTGTAAGCAAGAAATGGAGAACATTTTCTTTGTTTACACTGAGTTGCAGAAACAGAAACGGAAGTTTATGAGAATGAGAAAATTAATGCTTTTGGAACACAGCCACATGCAAGTATTTTCACTGCTTTTTGGAGCTCTCTGAAATTTCCACTTGTGTTCCATTTAACAATTAGGTTATGAGCTTGAGATTTCTATTGGGCGATAGCTGATGAGGGCACAGCCCGAGTCAACTATCACTCATAGAAATTGAGAGCGAATAACCTAATTGTTTTAGTATAAATCTACCAGTCGTCCAAAATTTTATCAAATCCTCTTCATAGATACATGTACTTTGAAAATGCAAAGAATTGTAAATTTACTGAACTGCTTTTAGTGTGCACACTCTTAGCTCCTAGTGATATGGTCAAACTCAGGTGATGTAAGAGCTGAGCCACAATAACTTATTCACTCACCTTTTTTCACTAGACTTGTTGAATTGTCTTTGGCCACTAAATTCAAGAACAAACACAAACGTGTAAATAGTTAATATATAATTTCATTTTAATTGGTACACCAAGTATTGGTTAGGAGTGTCAGAGAGGAAAATCTCGGATTATTATTTGTAATCAATATTAATTATTTAATGATTTTTAATAATCATTATTACAGGCCTTTATCACTAGCAGTGTATGTTTATACTGGTATACTGTAGACCTATACGCTACTATACTATCTATCTTTGCACACGAATTGCAGACCTCTATAGGCAGACAATTGATTATACACTCACATTAACCTTTACTCAGAAGCAAGAAATGCTTAACATTTATGCCGCTGCTCATTACCTGTTTGATTCCAATCAGTACATGCTGGGTTTGTTTTTCATGCTGCATATTATTAGGAATTAGCACACAATTGCCATGAATAAAATGAAATGCAACTCCATCAAAGTCCACTGACTCTGGAGAGTCAGACTTGAGACCTATGGTAGCCAATAATTACGCAGGCTAAAAAACTTTCAGATGTGGCTTGAAGGTTTACTTTGTAGTTTACTAGCCTCTGGCTAATGAAATACATGTACAGCTATTCCAACAATACTTGATTAGAACTAAACTCAATATAGTCGTCATTTTCAATTACAATAAGAAGTTGACCACATTACTTACTATACTTCCAGCAATCGAGAGACGTAGACTTCCTTGTTGTGCCAGGTATTGGTTTGCCTGTGTCAACATCAACACACCAGCAGTAACCAATAGAGTAATGACACTGAGTGGGAGAGTATGACCCATCACTCGCACAACGTGGCAAGTACTGCTGGTTTGCACCTGAAGAATGCTTGTTTGATTTCAGTGCTGCTAAATATTCTCCAGTGCACTTCTTTATTTCTGATGAGCAATCAGAGGAACATAATAAATCAAGATTATAATGATTATTGGATGATACGTGTACTTAAAAATAGGTACATAACGTGTACCTGTGTCTCTTGCTCTACTCGAGATTTTGTTAAGTCTCAATCACTGACAGCTTTCTCTCATATATTGAATGCATTTGCTACAAAATTTGTGATAATAACAATTCTTTAATTTATACATTGTCTTCAACTGCTTTTTTCAAGTTGAGAGTAATGTCCACATTCACTTTCAAATTTAGCAAGTCTCTTTCACCATTTTATGATTTACTGTAATTAACAGGCCTCCTACCTTAGTTCCCATCATATATTTATGATAATGTATAATATATATATGTGTGTGTGTGTGTGTGTGTGTGTGTG